TCTCTTCTTTTATTGCCAGATGCCCTTATACTGTTGCTCACCAAATCCTCCAGCAACAGCTGTTCCACCAGCCCACTCTTGGCTGCAAGCTGATCTAATGTGCTTCACAATTAGTAAGAGTACCTAAGTATATCAGGAGCCTGGAGCATGAGGGGGAGAGCGTATGTTTTCTGCATTTTGCATAAGCATCCTGGGCATTGTCTCCAGCATATTCAGTTCCGGATGACTCCTCATTTCCTGGATATAATGGCAGATCAAACACAGGGAGCCTAAAGTGCCTGGCATCACATACAGAGCTTCTACTTTCTGAAATAAGGCAATAGCAAAAGATCAAGAAAGATATACTGGCTCTGAGGCATTGCCTAAAGTCCTGCTATACCTCCTGTTCTTTTCCACCTCGGCCAAAATGTAGAGCTACTAGTCTTCCACTTTTCCCAAGTAGGTTCTCTGTTGCTCCTTTCTCCCATTCTTTACTTGGTTTAGATTTATTCTGTTCCTAAGCAGTCTTCATTTAAGGACCCATTGGTCATGTTGCAGGTCAAGTACCAGGATAGCAGATGACAGTGTTCTCTGTCTTCAAATCCAGGACAGTCTACACTTGGGAGTAGTGCAATAAATTCTTATCCGGAACATAGGAACAGACATTAGGTTTGTTCTTCAGGAGTTAAAAATGTAAAATGTAAATATGTAAAATACTTAAAATGTAAAATAGATAAGAGTTTGGGATATAATGCTTTCCCCTCCTAAATTATTCTTCCTGATCTCGTCCCCACCTTCTTGTTAACTCATTCAAACAGGAGACTAGGTTCTCCCGTTTCCATTCTTCCCAGAAGTTCAAGAGACCCTGTTCCTGCCAGTGAAGGAACAACTTGTAATGTTGCTCAGCTCTCTCTTTTCTCAGCTGTGGACTGGATGTCCCTGTCCTCTTCCCACGCCCAAGGCCATACCCTGGAGGGCCTGGAGACCTGTCTCACCAAGGTCTGTAAGGCTACTGCTCGTTGAGATTCACAGCCCTTGTGACTTAGGATTGCCTTTTAGTAGAATGATGAAGAAACTGGCCTGGGCTGAAAGTAGTGCCTATAGGGTCCCTTTAGTCAATGAGCAAGACACTTCAAAAGCCACCTTTAGATGCCATAGCACTTAACCTTCACGCCCCAGCTTCAGTTCATCCTGGTGTTCAGTCCAACCCTGGAAACTATACCAACTTGTTTCTCCTTTCAAGAGATGCCCTCAAAAGCCATGGCTTCCAGAGGACTGATTCACAGAGATCTTAAACGTTTTTGATCCCCTAAAATCTGCTGGCATGCTTTAAGCTCAGCTCCAGTGGTTGCTTTTGATCAAGTTTACATCGGTCAAAACCTTTCTCTTCAAATATAGCATCTTAGTTTTCTTAACCCTGCTTCCATCACTATCACAACCCACTCTTCCTGATGGAGCAAGGATTATGTCAGGAGATGGGAGGAGTGAGCATGCTGCTGCGGTGTTTGTTCTCGGTCTGGAGCTGTTTCCTCAGAACTCTGTCCAGTATCTTTTCCTTGGGTGGGCTCATAAGGCAAATGACAGAAATCCTCAGAGGGATATGTGTTCCCGTCATCTTTGTACCAAAGATATTCTTACAACCATACATGTTCTTAGTGTTTGGCTTTAATAAATACTCAAATCACAAATTTTGTAAGAAGGTCAGAGAAAAGTGACAGCAAAAGTTCCAAGACAAAGAGAACTCAGGTAACTCCTGGGTAACCTTTTCACATTAAGGGAACATAGGATGTCAGAGGCTGTGATAGCATTGTCCAGAGAGGCACAGGGGGGGACCACAGACCAAGGGGGCTGATGGTAGACTGTGACTCCTTAATTGAGGTGCCCGGAATAGCTTGATACAGTACCACGTGTTCCCTGCACCCCTCTCTGAATCTCCTCAATACCCTACTCTTTACTGTGTTCCCACAGTGTAGGAGAGCTGGACACTGTCTCATCCCCATATTGTTTCCCATGGTGTGAAGACCATGCTCTTCTCCCTGGCTGTAGGGTCTGCCTTTTTTCTTACTGTGTCTACCATGGCATTGGGTAGGAGGTAATGAAGAGGGCCAATTAGTGAGCCAAACTCAGAGTCTGAGCTATCAGGCGAGACTGGGACATGCTAGGGAGGCTCGGGGTCTGGGTTGGCTAGAGTCTAGCCCCAGAGCTTGGGTCGAGGATGAGGATTGTAGATGAGACCCACAGCAAGCATGAGGAAATGGGCAAGGATTGGCCTCAGCTTGAAAGACCTGGACCTCCCTGGCCTGATGTTCTCCACAGCACATTCCAGAAGCGGGAAGATTAGGAAGGTGAGGTTGAAGGTCAGGGATGCCAGTTACATACAGCTTATGAGGCAGAACGGGCCTCCCTGCCCTATTTTTCTCAGGAGTGGGGAGTGGAGCATTTCCCAAATCTGACTTCTGACCTCTGCTTCTCCAGCACAGCACATCACCGCCCTTGTGGCCTCTTTCTTCTGTTTTGTAGACCTGGACCTCTCCCCCAGTTCTCTCAACGCCTGTCATTTCTTTCTCCAGTTCTATCATGCCTGTGACCAGCCAGGCATTGTGGTTTTCTGCATCATGGACTACGATGTGCTACAGTTTTGTGATTTCCTGGGCTCCTTAATGTCCGTGTGGGTCACTGTCATTGCCATGGCTCGTTTACAGCCTGTGGTCAAGCAGGTCAGTCCAGAATGGGCCCTGGGGGACAATCAGAGCTAAAGTCGACTTGAAACTCATTCCCGACCTCTCCCTGAGGACATTGCCAAGTGCCTCTCTCCATCCTGGCCCAGCCTCTAGAGTCCTGTTTCTCTAGGTGCTGTATTTGCTGGGGGCTATGCTGCTGTCCATGGCTCTGCAGCTTGACCGGCATGGACTCTGGAACCTGCTTGGACCCAGTCTCTTCGCCCTGGGGATCTTGGCTACAGCCTGGGTAAGGGTGGGGAGAGCTGTGGGTGGGGCATCCTAGCAGGACTTGGGTTCAGGGCCCTGGGTATCTGGTCCCCAATTTAAGGTGGGCTAAGACCCTTTCACCATCACTGTTGTGCTCATGGTGCCCATCCTAGTCTTAGGTACCTTCCTGTCACAACCATGGCTCCGGGGAAGCCTGAGAGTGACCGGCTCTGGCTTGGGTTCCAGGGCCTCCCATTCCTGAGCCCCACTTCTCTGCCTCCTCCAGACAGTACGCAGCGTCCGCCGTCGGCACTGCTACCCACCCACATGGCGCCGCTGGCTTTTCTACCTGTGCCCTGGCAGCCTTATTGCAGGCAGTGCCATCCTGCTCTATGCTTTTGTGGAGACACGAGACAACTACTTCTACATTCACAGCATTTGGCATATGCTCATCGCTGGCAGTGTGGGCTTCTTGCTGCCCCCTCGTGCCAAGACTGACCACCGGGTTCCACCTGGAGCTCGGGCCCGGGGCTGCGGTTACCAGCTGTGCATCAATGAGCAGGAGGAGCTGGGCCTTGTGGGCCCTGGAGGGGCCCCTGTCAGCAGTATCTGTACCAGCTGAGAGGGGCTTTGAGTCTGGCCCTTGGAACATGAACCCTTCCCAGAGCGCAAAGAGCCCTTCCTGGGTTTTTCCAGGCAGTGAAACTTTCCCAGGGATGAGAGACAAGTTGTGTTTCTTGAGGACTTGGTGTCTTCCTTGACGTGGAACTCTTCCAGGGACCTGGCACACTTCCTGAAGATTGGAGCCATCCTGCAGCCATTGAGTCTTTCAGGGCTGTAGCCTGTGCAGGGCCTCAGAGCCCCTAAGGACCAGCAGTCCCTCGGAGGGCGTGGAGCCCTCCCAGGGATACGGAGCCCTCCTGAGGACACGGATTCCCCTGGGGAGACAAAGCCCTCCCAGGACATGGCATCATTCCTGAGGAAGTGGAGTCCATTTTGGGGAAACTGAGTCTCCAGATCTTCCAGCAGCTCAGCAACTCTGACCTCAGGCCTCCTTCCCAGAAGCAGCGTCTGTGCTGGGCTGTGCTGGGAGGGGACATGCAGGACAGATGGGACTGGGACTAGGGCTGGTATCTTGAGTTGATGCAGGTGGAGTCTGGTGTGTCTCCAATGAAGTATTTGCTGGTTCTGTGCTGCCTTTTTTTTCTGGGGCCAAATGTGTGGGGAGGGGAGGGAAAGAGGGACCCTGAGGAGGTCAGCATGGGTGATGGGAGCCCAGCTGAATGAACTGCTGGAGCTACTGTCTGAGGCTTCAGTCCTATTGTGTCAGGCTGCACAGCTGGGAATAGGGAGTTGTGAGTGGGTGAGTCTGTGTGTGAATGAGTGAGTCTTTGTGTGTGTGTGTTGAGTGTGGTACCCTCAACAAGGGAGGAGGCTGAGGTCCTAGAAAATTGGACTAGCAGGTACAAAGCTCAGATGGGAAGGAATTGTCACAAGAATGTAACTTCTGTTTTGGCCTGAGTGCCAGAAGGATGTCAATTTGGGATTTCTTCTCTTTCCACAAGAGTCACAGCTGAGTCCCAAGGGTTTACATGGTGCAAAGATGTTGGGAGCGGGAGCATGTTCTTTCTGGTCACCCCAGTCTATAGGCACCTACCCCCTGATATTTACATCATTCCAGCTGGCCCTCAGTAGGTCATGCAGATTTCTGGAAAAGGAGCAGATTTCTGGTCCTATCTGTGTAACCCCTTTTAGTCCTGAGGCTCTCTACCACTTCTGTGCCACATGCAAAGACAGACCTTGGCTACCCAGACACACCTTGAAGCCACTTAAAATGTAAGTGGAAGTAGCATGCTACTTCTGAGTGGAAGCTTGAAGAGTCAGTGCAGGCCTTGTCATTTTCTCGTTTCCTATTGTCATGGTGACCAGCAATGTCCCAGTAGTTGCTCTATTACTCTGAGTCCCAGAGGGGCGAAGATGATGATAGAACAGGCCCCTCCCCAGCCAACCTCTAATGGGCCTATAGCATGAGCGAGAAATAAATCTTTGTGGTCCTAAGCCACTGAAATTTGGAAGTTATCACCATATTATAACCTAGACTCTCCTGCCGAATAGAGGTTGAGAACAGGAGAAGCGGGACATTTTCCTGCAGAACAGATTCCCCCCCAGCAGAGCTATGGCAGCAGCTTTTACCTCTGCATTTCTCAGGCTGTAAATGATGGGGTTCAGTGAGGGTGTCACGACCCCATAGAACAATGCAATAATCTTATCCAAGTCAGGGTCCTTGGCCTTGGGCTTAAAGTACATGAAGGAGATAGTCCCATAGAAAACCACTACCACTGTGAGGTGGGCAGAGCAGGTGGAGAAGGCTTTGCGCCGGCCTGCAGCAGAGGGCACCCTAAGGATGGCATTAAGGATGAAAATGTAGGACATGCAGATGAGCAGGAGCGGGGCCAGTGACAGGACAGCTGTGGCCACCATTAAAAGCAGTGCATTGAGAGAGATGTCCCCACAGGCCAGTTTCAGCACTGCCAAGATCTCACAGAAGAAGTGGTTAATGACATGGTGGCCACAGAACGGGAGGCTCCAGGTGACGATGGACTGCAGCAATGAGTTGGCAAAGCCCGTTCCCCAGCTCAGCACTGCCATCCGCACGCACGTCTGCCCACTCATGAGTTCTGGGTACCTAAGCGGCTGGCAGATGGCCACGTAACGGTCATACGCCATCACGGCCAAGAGCACGCACTCCGTGGAGCCCAGTGCCAGGGTCAGGTACATCTGCAGGGCACAGCCAGGGAAGGAGATGGTCCTTTGGGCTTCCAGGAAGTTGACCAGCATGAAAGGCACGAAGGAGGATGTGCCACAGATGTCCAAGAGAGAGAGGTTGCTGAGAAAGAAGTACATGGGGCTGTGCAGGCGGGGGTCCAGCATGTTCAGCCCAATGAGGAGGGCATTCCCCAGCACGTTCACAGAGTAGATGCCCAGGCAGAGCACAAACAGGACCATCTCTATGCTATGGTGGCCGTGTAGGCCCAGCAGGACATACTCTGTCACGGCTGTCTCGTTGGCCCCACCCATCTCATTTTCCCTCCTCTCAAATCTGGGCCACACAGGTGTTGGGAAAAGCTCTGGCTGGCCTGGGAGCCAGGCAACCCGAATCCGTGCCCTGAGGCAGGTCAGCCCCACCTCTGGAATTTAGTTTCACCATCTGTAAACTGAGAGACTTAGACTGAAGGTCTACAAGCTGGCCTTCTCGGCTCTGCAGTTCTGACTCAACTCAGGGGAGATGAGATACATTCTAGTCCCTTCCCCCCACGTGGGCTCGGGAGACAGTGGAGTAGGATTCATGTTTGATAAGCTCCGCTAGAATTTAGAGTTCTTGGCTGTTAACAGGAAACTCTAGGTCAGTGGTTCTCAACCTTCCTAATGCCGAGACCCTTTAATACAGTTCCTCATGTTGTGACCCAACCATAAAATTATTTTCGTTACTACTTCATAACTGTAATGTTGCTACTGTTATGAATCGTAATGTAAATATCTGATATGCAGGATGTATTTAGGCGACCCCTGTGAAAGGGTCGTTCGACCCCCAAAGGGGTCGCGACCCACAGGTTGAGAACCGCTGCTCTAGGTCATGACTTCATATGGCTGAGTCATGCACATTGTTTCAGATTCATTCATTGGTGAATATTTTTGAATGCTACTCTGTGCTAGGTATTGTTTAGGTGCTGGGGCTACAGCAGTAAGAAAATAAGTGGACAGAAAGATGCCGCACCTGTCACGAGGGCTCCCTCTTCCCTGGACGCGGGGAGATGAGCTCTGTAAGGCAGGAGGGTGCTGGATGGTGCTCACCGAGTGTTCCTTTTGGCCCTTAAGGGTTGAACATTTCCACTCACAGGGTGCGTAGCCTGGTTTCTGGTCATCACTCCTTAAGGAATCATAGACCCTCTGCTGAGTTTTAAAAGAACAGCATATCCCAGTAGAGCCACTGGCCACAGGATTTAATCCAAGTAGCTCCTCCTTGACCTCCATATTGCTTTTTAGGATGGACGGGATGGGCACGGACGTCACACAGGAGGGAAGACCCGGCTCTCATCTCGCCGAATGGTCAGTCACTGACTAGTTTATACAGGGAGGGCGGGCAGAGGCTGCAGTCTTGGCCCAGGTGCTTTCATTGCTGTCCTGGCAGGACTCACCGCCAGTGTCAGGTATTCATAGGAGGAAGCGGAAATGTCCCCAAGGCCGTCTTGTTAAACAGCAAAGCTGCCTTGGCCCAGGTGACCTCTGGTCTAAAGGAGAAATAGAAGCTGAGTGTGACTTCCATTCAGAAGATATAATCACCCCCAGCCCCTTCCCTCTGGGAGTGACTGTGAGGCCAGTGTCCTGGGACAGCATTGGAGCCCTGCCTGTCCCTCAGGGATGGATTTGCCCCCCAGTCTCCCTCCTTAACTGCATCTGTGTGTGTAGGCACAAAGGGGCTCACCCTCTACTTAGCAGACTTTGTTTTTTCCCAGTGCTACATCTTTGCCCAAGAATTTTCCTTTTGTAGGCATAGCCTCCCTCCCTTCCCCAGTGGGGGCATTCCTGCTCATTCCTCAGAGCCCAGCTTAATCGCTCCTTTCTTCTCCCACCCGCTCCCTGCAGTCACCTGCTCCCTTCTGATGCTTTTCGCCCTTCGCCAGCCCTCTGTGTTCATGTATGGTGTGCTCTGTACTGTCTCTTCTACTGCACTCGTGAGCAGGACTCTGTCTCCTTCCTCTCAGCACTTCCTACAGCGAGTCACTGAACAGATAATCAAGATTCGAAAAACTTAGTTTTGCATCCAGCGTCAGCACTAGCTGGCTGTGTGATATTATTGATCAAGTCACTTGACCTCTCTGAGACTCAGTTTCCTTTTGAGAAATGGAGATGCTCAGAGGGAACATGCATGTAAAGGTGCAGGGAGCTGCCCAGCACTAGCAAGTTGTTACTGAGGCTCCAGATCAAAGGATTTGTCTTCAGCCATAAGTACCTGTTGGGCTCGGCACCTCTGGGAGTGGTGACCAGAAATCAGGTTTACACGCCCTGTGGAGTGGAAATGTTCGACCTTTAGGTCAGTGTCTGTCATCACCCCCTCTCTCCCCAGAGCCTGCGCTGGTTTCCTTATTCCTCCATCCTGAATAAGGGTGATATTAAGGGAATTTCTCATGCTCCACCCCCATTGTAGGTTTCCAGGGGGCTCTGTTCCATGTCGTCCTCCTCAGAGACCTGACTGATGGAGGCTCCACTATCAGAAGCGTCACCAGTTGGTATGGCTTGGGAAGAACACACTAGAGCAGCGGTTCTCAACCTGTGGGTCGCGACCCCTTTTGGGGTCGAACGACCCTTTCACAGGGGTCGCCTAAGATCATCGGAAAACACATATATAATTACATATTGTTTTTGTGATTAATCACTATGCTTTAATTATGCTCAATTTGTAACAATGAGATTGGGGGTCACCACAACATGAGGAACTGTATTAAAGGGTTGTGGCATTAGGAAGGTTGAGAACCACTGCACTAGAGCATCTCATACCAGCAGTTAAATGCTCTGACCCAGTAGAGGTATGTTGCACATCCGCCCACAATCCACTGGCCCTATGTAATCCTACCACATGCTCAGGAAGAGGAGAACTGGAAATATAGCTGAGTGTTTGGGTATGATGACTTCCATAATACACAGAAAAACTGCATCTATCAGCCAGTGCCTCGCTCTGTCATGCCCTGGAAAATCAGGTTCACAGAGAGATAGGAGTGTCTCTGAGGTAGTTGTCTAATTCCACTCCCCAGATTCACCCCCTGAGAGACAGGGTGATGCCATGAACTGGGACTGGGAGTGAGGGAACTGGGTTGATTCTTGCCTTTCTTCTGGTTCTGTTCTATGACCTTGGTCAGATTTCTCCCTTGGTGAAATGGAGCCATTCACGTAGGCAGTCTCTGGTCCTCTGTAACCTCCAGACATTTCCTCACATCCTCCCATCAACTTCCCAATCATGAAGTCTAACAGACCCAGGGTTATTTTTCAAGGTCAATATCCATTTCATTAGCTGATAAATTTCATACTTATTTTAGGCTTCACAAATTATTTTATAAGAAAGGTGAATGACTCAGCAAGACGAAAGCTTGGTTTTCAGTTTCCCTGACACGTGGGATCTCAGATTCCTGCATCACTTCCTCCTTGCTGTATAGCAGAGCAGGTGAGCGTGGGGTTTGGAGTCAAACTGACCAGAACCCAAATCCCAGGTCCCACTCGCTAACAGTTCCCTCAGCCCTACCTTCCTTACCTGTAGTGCGGAGATAAGAACAGTATTTTCTTATGAGGTTATTGTGAGGATCCAGTGAGATGATGCATGCGAAGCTCTCAGCACAGAGCCTGACGCATGGTAAGGCATCAATACGTGGTAGCTGATATTCTTAGTATTATGTCCTCTTTCCCAAGCAGATATTCTGATTTGTACATGTTTAAAAAAGATTTACTGAGAGGAGTCAGCATGTTACGGATTCTCCTTACCTCCTCCCTGTTGGCCCAGTGGCATCAGTGCATGCGGGTCGCTGGGGTGGGCTGCCAGGTGAGCTGGCCCGAGAGCAGAGCTGGGAAGTGCCGAGTTCATTACCGGCGGACACCCTTGTGCAGGGAGGGGCCAGGGCTGTGCCCACGAGGACCAGCCTCCTGATACCTGCCACATAGACAACTTGCCTGCTCCCTGCCTTCAGGGACTTCGCAGTCCCTGCCCAATTTAAAGTTCAAACCCTGCCACTACACAAGATTGCAGGCTTGGCAGCTGTGGGGCTTCAGAGACCCCAGGCTCCGTGTGCTGTCCCTGGGAGGGGGTTGGAGCGGGCACAAGAGTGACACTGGACAGAGAATCTGAAGACTGGGTCTCATTGCAGTCCTGCCCTTTTGGGTCTGAGGCTTGGGGACCATGGCTCCCCTGCCCTGGACCTGGGCATCCTGGTCTGTGAAATGGCTGTCTTCTTCCAGGATTGTTGTAAGGACCTGGATTCATGGAAGTGTAAGCAAAGCAAATTGCTGTATGGGGTATGAGATCCCAAGCACTTGTGAGGGACCATTAAGTCCGGGATTTAGCCAGGTGCATGAGGTCTATGGGTTTCTTTCCCCCTTCCCTTCTCACTCCCTTCTCTTTCCTTTTCTGTTTCCTTCCCACAATAAAAAATAAGTTGACCCAGTTTAGGGGCTAAAAAACAGTTTTAAGTAAAGTAGCAGCTGATGCAAAATTTTCCATTATACTATGATTTGGCTTTTGGAATTTTTTATCAAGAATACAGGTGAAGATTGTGACCACTTAGTTTTTTTCTTTTAAAGTTATTTTTTAAAAATTTTATTGAATTTATTTGGGGGACATTGATTAATAAAATTATATAGGTTTGGACTCCGCCAGGATTTATTTAAACATTCTCCTATGGTTGGACATTGAGATTCTTACAATTTTTTGTTACTATAAACAATCCCATGATTAATATTCTTGTATATAATTCTTTGTGCCTGTAATTATCTTCTTAGACTTATTCCTAGAAGTAGAGGTGTTGGTCAGAGGGTCTGGAAGTTTTTAAGTCACTTGATTCATACTCCAACTTACTCTGCAGGAAATTCATATCAGTTTATTCCCATTCCCACGTGCACCTTAATTAACAATAGACATTTTAAAAATTCTTTGCCAGTTTCATGGGTGGAGAATTGTATATAATCAACTGTAAATGTGATTAAAAACCCCCAATGCCCACAAGATGAAGTTCAAACTCCTATAGTGGCACCGAAGGCCCCGCAGAACGTCTTGGCTGGCAGCCTTCACCCTGGCTTGGTTGAGAGGGTTGGGGTGCAGGGAGAGGGGTGCTTCTCTCCTCAGTGCCTCTGTTCTGACCAACAGAAGCAGAAAGAGGAACGGAGGGGAACGGAGGGCTCAAGCAAGGCCTGTGCTTACCTGCTTGGAGGCCAAGACCAGGTCTCCCGTCATACAGATGGTGCCTCCGAGGCCAGAGCAGGCAGGGAATGGAGATGCTGTGAGAGTCGGGGCCCACTTCTGTGTTCACTGAGCTCTCAGCAAG